CAGTTTGAACTCCTTGTTCTAACTAAAGTGCAGTTCATTTCATTGATATCCTATGCAAGAGTGAGATTAAGAATTTAAGTGATTGAGCATCACACATACTGATTGTAATGTCACACAATGCAGAAGATCCTCTAAATTCCTGTTAGGACACATGGCACTATTGATACCAAAACCACATTAATTGCTTTTCCATGGTTTTCAGCTTGCATTTTAATGAACTATAAAAAAATTGTGTTGCGCCTATAAACCTCACAACCAAGATCACTAGTTCAAAAGTGTGTAAAGGTGCTTTGGAGGATTTATTCCCCTCCCAAATGTTTATTCTTTTTCAGATGCCAACTGAAGAATGAAACTGGTCTGGTTTTAAACCTAAAAGACTAAGAGCTTATGGAATCAAATGTCATGCCTTATAATTTAGCAGGAGCTGGAGGCTAATTGTGAAGGTTATTAACAATGAAAACAATGGGGTTCTCAGAAACTTATTACCATGGAGGAAACTGATGTTATTTTTCTGAAGTTTGGATTCCACTGTGTTTTGTTCTACAACATGCAATTTAACTACCCCACTTTTGAAAATGGGAGATGACTGTATTGTTTTAAAGATCTGCTCACACTAAAATAAGAGTAATTTTAAGACGTCCCCTAGGGATTCAAGTCTATACATTTAGCAATAGAAGGAGGAAAACAGCTTAACTACCAGCTTGAGGAGAGAGATGATGAGGCATGCTTTCTCTCTAGTGTTTCCCACGTTACAGATACAGTCAATGAAACTAGGTGCAATTCTAAAAACATTTTCGTTGACAGGGCTTAGGCAGATACTCATCTGAGTAAGAGTAAGCAGCTTTATGTTCCAGAGATCAATCATATTCTAGATGCATACTGTCCTGTCTTCTGATCAAGATATTTTTGTTTCAATAACCATTTTTCCCATAACAAAATGGTAACATTTGTTTTCATTTTTTTAATATTAGATATTTAACTGTTAATTAAACATAAACATACTTATTATTCAAGTACATACAAAAGCTAATGGATGACATTAGGAGATAAATTTACAGAACAATACCAGCTCAAACAGTGCAATACTGTTTGGTTTAGGAAAGCAAATATATATATATATGTATACACACTAGATGTATATATAGATACTTGTGAAACACCAGCTATAGACACTCCCAGTAACACACAACAGAGCTATCTTTGAACTATACAAAATATTATTTCTATAGTGAGGAGCCCAGTAGGGGGAAGAAGGTAGTTTGTTGCTTTATCACTTTTTAGTAACAATTAGCCTGTATGAGTTTGATTGAGTCTTATACATGGAATGTTCTTTTCATAACTATTATTCCATTCAATTCCATTCATTGATGGACATCTTCCCCTGCTAGTGTACAGAAATAGTTGAAAATAGCAGCAAAACTCAACATTGATGACATAGTCTTTCACTAATATACTTAATGAAGTTACTGTTTTGGACCAATAGTTCAGCTCTAGAAGAGGGAGCTAAGAGTGTAGTCCTTAGTTTTTGTCATGATGTCAGAAACAAAGCCTCACAAAAATCCAACTGATAATCAATGAACTTTGAAAATTAATCTTAAAACCTTCCTTCATATATGACTAAGTGATTCCTAAATTTCATCATATTTCTTAACCTATCAATTATGAACATCTCTCATGAAGCTTTAGCACAAAACTCTCACCAATACAGAGTGCAAGCGTGCCCCTCTCATGTACCATACTCCATGATCTGCAACCTATGTTATTACATGAAATACTGTGGTTATTACATGAAATACTGTGTACATGAATACATTTCAGGATAGACAGCTGAATTCAGCTATCACTGGAAGCTTGAGGAATTCCTCCATGCAGCTGTTTGGCTTAAAGAAATTTTACGGAGAGACAGCCAAATTACAAGGAACAGAAATGTTCATACAAGCTTGTAAATTTCAGCTTTGTGTTTTACTTTTAAAAGGAAACATTATTATTTAATGTCTTTGAGCTACAGTAGTATCTCTTAAGAATTGCCCTGACTCACATCACTGAAACAAACAAACCAAAAAATACAACAAGACTGCACAGACTGCACAGATATTACTTATCAGTCTGGGAAGTGGATCAAACAGGACAGAACAAGAGGAAATAAATAATCTTCATATTTTATAATGTTCAACAGGTATTATCTGCATTTTATTTAAAGACAAAAAAGAATGAAAAGTAAATCTGCTTTCCAACCATCCTAAACATTTTTTTTTCAGTGACATTTCATTCAATTACATGTACACTACTACTTTCCTGAAGCCTACTTTGCATATTCATTCTTATTGTCATAAGAAATCTTTGTTACATTTTCACAATTTACTCTGAAGTACAGCTGCTTTATGCACTTGTGCTGACACGCAGAGTTTTACAGCACAATACATACTTGCTGTTGCCAAGTCCTTTGCCTCAAATTTCCCATGCTTTTAGCCTTTGCTGTTCCCAGCAAAAAGAAAATTGAATTTTCAGCACTATCCAAACAATGTGAACACAGCAATGGCTGTTCAGGGGCAAATGTGAAGTTCATTTAGGCCAGGACCATGCCATTAGCAATGGTCAAAGGCAGTGACCTAGGAAAAAACCCCACATTAGGACAACTCTCAAATAATACAGCAATCTCCTGGAACACACTTCTGGCTCGCAGCAATGTGTGGCTCAAAGCCTTAAATGTGAAATGACTGGAAGCATTGGTATATGATAACACTCTTCGTTTTCAGCAGGGTTGGAAAGAAGAGCAGAAGATGGCATACTTCAAAAACGAAGGAAATTTCAAAAGGAAATATGTGCCCTCATCACACATACATGCCACTTCATTCTATCCAACAGTGTTTCTTGCTGCTGATATTGCCTTTACCCTCAAAATGTACTGTTCTCCATATGGAAGAGGTGGCAAAAATGAAAGTGTTTCCCTTCTTTCCTCAGAAAACCTCCTCCTGACTGGAGCTGGCCTCCTGTTCCATTCCACTTGACTAAACCAATCTTTTTCTCTTCCCACACTAGCTCCATCTGCTGCCCGTCTCTCCAGCAGAGCCAGATGCCAGCAAAGCAGACTGCTGTGGGAGGAGAAAGTTCTGTCGCTGGAATTTCATCCCTACACTCTGCAGGGGGCCAGCCTGTGAAGCATGGGGAGGATACAGAGAGCAACTTCCTCTCTTCCACACTCCTTCCTCTGATCATCAGTAAAGAAGGCAGCTGAGGACATGAGCAGAAGGATAAAACACCAATGTGTGCTCTTAAATATGCAGTTTTAATATTCATATAGCAGAAGTCTCACAGTTGTACTCCAGACATGAGCATGGTACACACCAGATAAATATAGGAGATGAGTCCTGCTCCAAAGACCTTACAATCCAACAGAAGCAGAGATGCACACTTGTGATAAGGATCAAATGAGTGACTAGAGCACAGATGAGAAAGAAAAGAGACTCAGATTTATAATCAGGAGAGATTTTAATGGTGGAGTAAAAAGACAATACTTTCTGGAGAGATGGAAGTCAAAGAAAGGATCAATGGATGAGTGTTGTTAAGCTGAGATAATTGCAAAGGAAACTGCCTGTAGAGAAGGAAAGAGAAGGATGAAAACAGACATAGAAAAAGAAAATGTGGGTTCTTTATACACTTGATGTGATCTTGAATGAAACGGAAAGACATACAGGTAAGAACTTTAGATAAACAGTCTAGTAACAGAGGAGGATCTGCATAAGCAATCTTGTCAGAGAAAGGAGCAAGAATGTGTGTCACTGAGTGAGAACAAGAACTCATATAAAATAAGCAAGTGTGCATATGTGTGAGACAGGGACGCAGACTTCATTTTTCTGGGAGAAAGAATCATGGGAACCCAGGAGACTATAGAGAGTATAAAACAAAATATGCTGGTGTATGGGTGCAGCAGAAAGTTTTGAGTGGTGTTGGCAGGACAGAAGAAAATTAAGGAACAGAGCAACCTAACAGAACATCAGAATTATGTATAAGAATCTGAAAGAGCACATATGACTTACAGAGACATAGCAAGAAAAATCAATAAGTTGAATTGACAAGGAAAAGAAGAAGGAAATAGACACATCACATTGCAGCAGAGTAAGGGATCACAGCAGAACAAATGGAGTGACAGGATGGAGAAAAAGGACGAAAGAACATATGCAAAGATGATAAAAGTCAGTAAAGAAGCATTAGATAAGTGAAAGCACTATGTAAAAACTCCTAATGGGAAAACTGGGTGTGTAGACAAAGGTGACTGGAAATGGATGGTCACTGTCAGTGTAAACTCTTAGGGTTTGCCCCATCTTGGTATCCCCACATTTTAATCTTCATTGTCTCTTGGAAAAATGTTATTTCCTTGTCCTCCACACCCCCTAACTTCCGAGCTGTAGTTGCACCTTTATGCCATTTGTTTCACTATTTCTAGTGGCAACTCTTTTTCTTCCGTCTACATGGGAAAAAGATCTTATTTTTTTCAGATACTCTACCACAAAAAAACCGTGCCAAAAAAACCAAGTTTCCTTCCTCCTGTCCCCATAACGCCCTTTCATTCATTCTTCTTCGAAAAAAACCCAACCCAACCCAAACCAAACCAAAAAGGCTGGGAAACCTCAGCAATACGGTGTTATCTTAAGTCCAAGACATTCAGCGAACCTTTCCTGAGCTGCATGTACATTCTGCGCCCCAGGTCTCCTCCGTGCCCGGGTGAGGTTTCCCGTCTCCCGCGGGCTGCGCTCCAGCGCCCGGCATCGCGCTGCCGGGATAACGGGATCTCCGGCTGAAACGCATCCATCAGGCGGGGCAGCGCGGGGAGGGGAGCGAGCTGCCGGCTGCTGGAAGGAAAGCCTACACAGACGTATGCCCTGGCTGCTGGAAGACATGGCTGGCTATCTGATTTGATTTGAGGGACATAAAAAAAAGGGAAGGGAGGAAAGGGAGAGGGGGAAGCACACACGCTCGCACACGCATCCGGCTGATCTTACCTCCACATTGAAATACTGCTCCGCTTTGCACACTGTAGCACATAAAATCCAAATGAAGGTTTGCAAGAAAAACACCCTGGATTGAGAAACGAAATCCAACCGGCTTCCAGTGCTGGATGCGAGTACGATCATAGTGAACTGTGCTTCAGCGGGTGGAAGACCTCTCTCTCTCTTTGCCTTAAACAAATGCACAAAACAAACCAGCCTCCCCCGTGTCGGTGAAGAGCCCGTAGCGCAGGTTCACCCACAGCCGGGGAGGAGGAGGAAGAGGAGGAGGAGGAGGAGCAGACACTTCACAGCACGGGCGGCGGCGCGGCAGGGTCAGCTCTCGCTCATCCTCACCACCAGCCCCGCCAAGAGGGAATGAATGTGGCGTCCGAGTACACTCGCTGCTCCGGCACGACTCCTCTCTGCCCAGCAGCAGCAGCCGCCTCCCCGTGTCCTCCCTCTGCTCCCGCCTCCTCCGCCTCTCCTCCTCCTCCTCTCCTGCCTCCTCCCCTTCAGCCTCCGCCTCCTGCCGGGGAAGGCGGGCCGGCGTGGCTCGGCTCGCCTCTGCTCGGCTCGGCTCTCTGCCGTGGCGTGGCGTGGCGTGGCGTTGCCCTGCTCGGCTCGGCTCGGCTCGGCTCGGCTCGGCTCGGCTCGGCTCGGCTCCCTGCCCTGCCCTGCCCTGCCCTGCCCTGCCTCGGCTCGCCCCCCGCCGCTCCCCTCCACTCCAGAACGTTCAGCCGAAACCTTCATGGTCCCGCCCCGTAGGCGGCCTAAAGGCGACGGCCCCACCAGGCGGCCCCGGCGCGCCAGCGCCACACTGCCGCGCTCGGCGGGCTGCGGCCCGGAGCCTCCCTCCGTGGGCGGCTGCTGGGCACCGGCGGCCCGAGAGCGGCCCGAGAGCCGCCCGCGGCCTTTCCGCGCGGTCCCGTCCCCAGGAGCCGAAGGAGTGCCGGAGCCCCCCCGGCCTGGTCACGGGAGGCGCCGGGCGCGGAGCGAGCGCCCCGAGGCGCCCGCGGTGCCCGTGCCCGGGAACGCCGCGCTCCCCTGCCCGCGGTGCTGCTTGGGTGATGAAATTCTGCTTAATGCTTCCGAAAACATGGCCATACACTTAAGGGAAATCAGCTTGTGAAATACTATAGCACGGACAAACTTCATGCTGGATATTGTCGTGTTGAAAATGCCTTACGATTATGGCAGATACTACCCCTGCAGTGATTTAATAGTAAACGGGACTTTTTATGCGGCCCTTTGATATGTCATCCAGTATAAGGAAGGTGAGGTGATCCATAACATCAGTGGACATGATATTGCTATAATGCACCTTGGGGAAAAGGGGGGAGGGGAAAAAACCTCCAAAACTCCCAAGTTTACTGAGGGGAAAAAAAAATTAAAAAATAAAAATTAAAAAAAAATTAAAATGAATTTTTTTTTTCTCGTTTGGTTATCAAGAAACATGCAGAGATACTTGATCATTATATGGGGCAAACAGGAAGTAGAAGACATACCTGATGTGAAATTTCCATAATCTGATCGTTGAGCCCAATGGCTGAAACACGTGCAGACTGCATGTACACAATTTTGACTGCACCTGGTAGCAGAATGTAGGAGTGTATTAGGTTGTCCATAATTTCGTATATTAAGAATAATTTTGTATATTAAGAGTTTTGTGAAGAAGTCATGATCTGCCTAATCAAAAGTAATCCTGTTTAAGCAGAATTCCTTATGTGATATACTTTTTTCACATTAAGTGCTTGATCTACAGGCATTTTCTGTCCTGATTCTTAGTGATGTGAATGATGAAATTATGAAATACAGAGCTGTCAGCAAGCTAAATGGACCTGTTGGCACTTTGGTAGCAAATGTGGGAAGTCAAATTAAATAAATGAATAATTAAGCACAAGTTAAAGAAATGTCTTGGAAGAAGCAGGAGAAAACGTGATACTGACGCATGGAAATTATATTTGGGAAGAAAAATTAAAAAGTAAAATCAAAAGGATACTGGTAAAATAACAGCACTTCAGAAAATAATCTGGGGGCTGTAATGTAAATATGAGTCAGCAATGTGTTACCATTAAAGAAAAAAAGACAGCGTCACTGTGGAATGTATTAATAGGTGTGCAGTACATCTGACAGGGCAAACCCTTTCTGCAAAGGGTTGAAGAAGCCAACTGTGTTTGGTCTCAAACTGAAGGCAGTCAGAGGAAAATTACAAAATATTAGAAGATATAGAAAGTTACAGATGGGTATAGAAGTTGGAAGAACATTTGTTTAAGAAGACAGAAATAAATGAGCTCTTTATGTGTAAGTGTTGCTGTGAAAAAGACAAAAATACTTAATTCTTTCTGGGAAAAAAACCCCAATTATCTAAGTTATTCGTAAAGTTCAGATTCAATGTTCAAAACTTTCTAAAATGTAATGGACAAAAATACTTAATTCTTTCTGGGGAAAAAAAACCCAATGATCTAAATTATTCGTAAAGTTCAGATTCAATGTTCAAAACTTTCTAAAATGTAATGGTTATATACTGAAATATGTATGTTTTTATATATACTGGAACAATAGTGTCCCAAGTTTAGCATTTGGGACAAAATACCTACCTTGTGGAAGTGTGGAATCTCTTCCATGTGTAGGTTTCATAGGAAAGATTATTAGAGTTAACCTCTCTAATCTTAGGGACGTAATTGTATTATGAGGTCTTGTAAACCTTATACTTCTAGTAAAAGTAATTTAGTAATTTTTTTTTTATTACTGTGAATTCATCGCTGTAACCGTATGAAGGAAACACTAACTTTATACAGTCCCTGTTGTTTTTCCTCTTTCCCAAGGAGCTTGTGTGTGTGTCCCCTTAGCAAACACTTGCTCTGTGCTTCCCAGTCTATTCTGTAGAGTCTGCCATTAGTATAATATCCAGAAACAGAAACAAAAAAATGAAAATAGGTAAGTTACTGTAACGGGAATTTCATTTGTCTGTCCTGCCAGGACTGCTGTGGCTATTTATTGTGAAAAGAGCAGGGCCATAAATACAGCTGCCTCTTTTCTTTACACTCTATCCATTGGAAGAAAGAAGAAAAGCAATGATATGAAGAGAATGGTGGACAACAAAGGCACATGAATATTTCTTAATCATGTTTGAGGAAGAGAGGGAAAGATCACACAGGTAGAGGGAGATTGGTAAAGAAAGAGAGTAGCAATGTATGAATAGGAGTACCAAGGGAGAGACAAGGCATATGAAGGACAGAGAAGATATTTGAAGTGAAAGATACCATTCAGGAATGCTTGTGTGAGTGAAGAAATGCCAGCAATGGTGGGAAAAGGCTTTGAATATTTATGAGTAAGCTGCGGGCAGAAACACACAAAAGGACGGTCAGACCCTCATGAGACATGTAAGAAGGAAAGAGAAAATAGAAAAGAATTTAAATCTCCATACTGAGCACTGTTTTTACTTATATATGTATGGGATTATGATCGAGATTAAAGAAAGGACGAAAAAAGCAACAAAGATGAAAGGTAAGTAAACAAGTAAAGAAGGAAGAAAGCAGAATAATGAAATAGGAAAAAAAATGGGAAGTGTTTGTTGAAGTGCTTGTGTGATTTAAGTCATGTACTTTATAAGCATCTTACAGATTTTTATCAAATGCCCTTATGATTTTTATATTCTTGCCTATGGCAGTTACCAGCAGTAATTAATAAGCAGTGAGCTGGTTTGTAGGGAAGCAAAATCTAAAAAGAGAAAGTTTTAGTTCTAAATACTTTTAGCCTTTCAAAAAGGCAGGAAGAGATCTGTCTCTCTACTGTGTTACCAGTCAGCCCATATACCATCAGAGTTTCTTAGACTCTAGAATGTATCTTTTATGGATGACTGTAGTCACAGATTCTCAATAAACACATACCAGAATCTGATACAGACATGATGCATTCTCATGTCCAACTTGGAACACAAGGCAAAAATATTTCCCTGTTCTGTTTACCAATTATGAATAGAAATTAATATAATAAATAATTTTTAAAAATACTACATGTTGTCCTTTCTGTGCTTTGTGTTGCTTAGCTGCAGATAGTACCAGCTGGAACTTTTAAAAAAGAGAGCTTCATTACAAGATATAACAAACTGCAAAGAGTGAAGGTAGATACCACATATTTCACACTGTTATATTTAGTTGTGGTTTGCAAAAGATTTTTTAAACACCTTGCCTTTTATTCATGGAAAGAGATTTTCATAGATGTGCTCATATGAATTCTATTTGACCGTTTGAAAGGTCCTACAGGATGTGAAGGCAATCAGCAAGTTCAACAGCATAGGAGGGATTATTGCGTTGAATATATATTCCTGTCAGGATCACTTTCATATTGCCTGTGTTCAGGTAACGACTTAACCAAGGTTCACTGTAGGTATAAGGTTATCCTGTCCGGAAGTACGACTGACTTACACTGTCAGTGCACTTTACTTTGTTTTACAGTAAAGTGCACTGACAGTGCAGTTTACAGCTCTGTTGATGGCTTTATAAAGAATCTAAGTAGAGATAACAAGAAATGACTGTGTAAAATCTCGCACATAGTTGTAGAATCACAAGGAAAATGCTTAGAGCCATAAAAATCAGTAATATTTCCGAATATTTTGTGTGATTGGGATTTTTGAAAAAGAGCCAGTGAAGTCAGAGAGGAAGAAAATCTGAAAGTGTAAGGTTTTCTTTTAAAATAAAGTTTTAAATTTAATTTCTAATTCACATAATCATAATAACATAGAAAAAATTTGATTCAATGAGACCTTTATAAGTCATGTCCAACTCTGTACAAAGCAGAGGGAACTCAGGTTACTCTGGTGCTTGCTCAGGGAGTTATGAATCAAGTTAGTCCAACTGAAGCATCATTTCCTCATCTGTGATGTGACTTCTCTGTTTCAGGGAGCTGTTTTGAGGGTAAAATCTCTTCTGTGAGGCATTTGTTAGGCTTTCAGTTATTTTGGTCTCTGTAGAGACAACACGCATTTCAACAAGTAAACCAGGTAAGTCCTAATCTCTTGAAGGCAGGAGAAGCAGTGAAGAGAAATAGGAATATAAAATAGAATTCTGTAGCTGAATACTGAGAGAAATACATTTGAAAGAGAGAGAACATAGAGTGAGCAAGAGAAATGGCTCCTCTGGAGCCATGGAAGAAAATCATTAATAAGTATACAATAATTAAAATATCTCTTTTTTTATAATGACATTTTTAAGAACATGAGTTATTACTGGGTTAGTGAAGAAGAGGTAAAAAAATGCACTGAAGCAGTCAAGTCCTTACTTGTTTACTTTGTGAAACTGTTCACATGAAGCTTTATTTTCTTTGCTTTAGGACAATTGTCATGCTGCTTTTTTCTCTCCCAGTCTTGATGCCTTGTCTCCATGCTTTCTGATTTTTTACTTTCTTGCAGAGCAAGAAAGGCCCATTCAAGCATCAAGTCTATCAAAAACTACCCAAAATGTCTATCTC